CCCTTCGTCTCGGGGAACTCGGAGGAGACCCTTTCGTCTCGGGGAACTCGGAGGAGACCCTTCGTCTCGGGGAACTCGGAGGAGACCTCTTTCGGGGAACTGAGGAGAGACCTCTTTCTCGGGGGGAACTCGGAGGAGACCCTTCGCCCTCGGGGAACTCGGAGGAGACCTCTTCGTCTCGGGGAACTCGGAGGAGACCTCTTTTCGCCCTCGGGGGGAACTCGGAGGAGACCTCTTTCGCCTCGGGGAACCGGAGGAGACCCTTCGTCTCGGGGAACTCGGAGGAGACCTCTTTCGCCTCGGGGAACCGGAGGAGACCCTTTCGCTCGGGGAACTCGGAGGAGACCCTTTCGCCTCGGGGAACCCGGAGGAGACCCTTTCGTCTCGGGGAACCGGAGGAGACCTCTTTTCGTCTCGGGGAACTCGGAGGAGACCCTTTCGTCCCGGGGAACCGGAGGAGACCTCTTCGCCCTCGGGGAACTCGGAGGAGACCTCTTCGCCTCGGGGAACTCGGAGGAGACTCTTTCGTCCCGGGGAACCGGAGGAGACCTCTTCGTCTCGGGGAACTCGGAGGAGACCCTTCGCCCGGGGAACTCGGAGGAGACCTCTTTCGTCTCGGGGGAACTCGGAGGAGACCTCTTTCGTCTCGGGGGAACTCGGAGGAGACCTCTTTCGTCTCGGGGGAACTCGGAGGAGACCTCTTTCGTCTCGGGGGAACTCGGAGGAGACCTCTTTCATCCTCTGATAGAGATTTTGAAAGGATACTGAAGCTTTCTGGATTTATGAATATTTTCTGAAAGAATTTAATTCTCATAATTCTTGGTGGGGTATGCAGAGCAACATACAAATTTGGGGGAAGTTTTTTTCCAATTAGAAAACAATTAACTTACCACTGTTAAGTTTTTGCTGGTCTTTCCAAAGCTGTTCTCGACAGATACAGAAACTGTGTAGACACCTAACTGATGGAAAATGTGAGCCTGGCAAGAAAAGAGAAAAAAAATCATGATGAGAAACAAAGATGATACTTTGTCCCTCTGCTATTCTAATAATGCCCAAATTTGAAAAAGAATTGACAAAACTGGAACAAAGAAAAGTTCAATGGAATTAAGCAAAATGTAAAAAAAAAAAAGTAAAAAATACAAACTTTGTCTGGCATTCAAGAAATGATAAAAATTTATTTTTTTTTAAATTCAATACGTCATCTTTTTAACTGATTTTTGGACATGGTATACAAAACAATATATACCTTTTATATTACAGTGTAAATATTGTTTTTTTTTTTTTTAATCTTATTCTTACTGAATGTGTACCAAGACTTTCATGGGAAAAAGTTCCACGGTAATAAACCGATCATGAGATATTCAAAATAAGCCAGTTGTTCCCACCTATTTATATACCTGGGCAGAAGCTACAGCCCCTTACAAGAGGAGTGGGCCAAAGCAGCAGCCACTACTCAAGTACATAAATATCCACATATATTTATTTCAATTATTTTCTTTCCCCTCAGAACACATTCATATGCATTCAGTTACTAACAAGCTGCAATCTTTTATTGGGGAGGTGTTCCTGTTCTGGAAATATTATACAATGTATTTTGCATATTACAAAAGTGGAAGAAGAAATACAACAATTGCCAGTTACAATTTTAAAACAGAAACACTTAGCTTTAAACTTCAATATTTAAGTTTTTAATGAACCTTATTCAGTTTTCTAACACTGTTGTTTTTGCTTTTAACTTTGTTTTTTTTTTTTTAATATCCGGTAAATTGTAAGAGCAATAGTTTTGTTAGAACAGGAGATTTAAAAATTTTTTCACTTTTTATCATTCTACATGCATATATATATATATATATAGACATACACACACACAAAAAAAAAAATTCAACCTAACGTGTCAGGAAGGGCATCCGGCCTTGTAAAACTTTACTAATTGTTTGTCTGCTACAACCCACCTTGTTCTGTGCAAGATTAATCCTGTTACTGATTCAGGAAACAAAAAACCAAAAAAAAAAAAAACATGGTTATGTATTGTTGCATAGGAATAAAGTGTCATTGCAGGCACCGTAGTTTGAACCCAGATCACCAGTGAACAAACACAGATGATTCCATTATTAAATAAGTAGATCATGTGATCATAAAGGAAACATATAAATGGGAATTAGTGTGACGTCTAAGTGATCACTATTCTCTGTACTATCCACTACGCTATTTCTCTATACTGATCGTTATTTGAATTGCTATTTGGCGATTACTATTTGAACTATTATTATTAGTGCGAGTATTACTGGAAGGTGTTACTACTACCAGTACCTGCATTTACAAAGTCTCATCTACAACGAGCATTTCGGATGTGATAACGAGCATTCGTTGACCTAATGAAAGTTACTATGAATGAGTGTCTAACATCACAAAATGTATGTAGCATTTAGGATGATTCATGTTTTACTCGAGAAATAACTGGTGAAAACTGAACTGCTACAACACTTTACTCAAAAGGTGTCCTGGAACCATGTAAGGAAAGCATATTTAGTCGTCTCGGTAATTTCACATTCAGAATAATCACCTGGCAATGGTCAATGATTACAATTTCTAAATAAGAAAAATTTGCAAAGTTTTACTTAAAGATAATAAATATCACCTATTTTGAAATACACTTTCCTAATGTCAGAGAAAAAAAAAATTCAAAAAAGAATTGAGAAAGAAAAAATCTTTAATCAGCATTTGCCAGTAGACATCTGTTGCTTACTGAAACGTTTTACAAATTTTTAGCATGATAATGGAGAGAGTTCACTTGCAGATGTGTTACAAAATGGATCAACAACTTGGCGAAGGAAGTTCACCATCTGTTAAGTTAATGTCATTTTAAATGAACAAGACTTTTCAACAGTACAATGAATGGCTGTATTTATGTGCTACCACTGTTGCCCATTATCTTAGAACAATTTTTCCAGTCACAGTGGGAAGGACATCTGACTTGGTTATCATTGGGGCTTATTTTTTTGCACCTGCCTGATTGTCAGAAGTTGGATTGTGGTGACAAAGAAGTCAAAACAGAAGAAACAAAATAAATAATTTATGATTATGAGTAGCATTATTTTTTAAGGTTTTTGTTGAAAAAAAAAGCAAAGACGAGGCGGGGGAGGGGTTGAGGAGGAAGCAAAGACGAGGCGGGGGAGGGGTTGAGGAGGAAGCAAAGACGAGGCGGGGGAGGGGGGGTTGAGGAGGGCAAAGACGAGGCAGGGGGAGGGGTTGAGGAGGAAGCAAAGACGAGGCGGGGGGAGGGGGTTGAGGAGGAAGCAAAGACGAGGGGGGGGGGGGTTGAGGAGGAAGCAAAGACGAGGCGGGGGGGGGGTTGAGGAGGAAGCAAAGACGAGGCGGGGGAGGGGGTTGAGCAGGAAGCAAAGACGAGGCGGGGGGAGGGTTGAGCAGGAAGCAAAGACGAGGAGGGGGAGGGGTTGAGCAGGAAGCAAAGACGAGGCGGGGGGGGGGTTGAGCAGGAAGCAAAGACGAGGCGGGGGGAGGGGTTGAGCAGGGCAAAGACGAGGCGGGGGGGGTTGAGCAGGAAGCAAAGACGAGGCGGGGGAGGGGTTGAGCAGGAAGCAAAGACGAGGCGGGGGGAGGGGTTGAGCAGGAAGCAAAGACGAGGGGGGAGGGGTTGAGCAGGAAGCAAAGACGAGGCGGGGGGGGGGGTTGAGCAGGAAGCAAAGACGAGGCGGGGGAGGGGTTGAGCAGGAAGCAAAGACGAGGCGGGGGAGGGGTTGAGCAGGAAGCAAAGACGAGGGGGGGAGGGGTTGAGGAGGAAGCAAAGACGAGGGGGGGGAGGGGGGTTGAGGAGGAGGAAGCAAAGACGAGGCGGGGGGGAGGGGTTGAGGAGGAAGCAAAGACAGGGGGGGGGAGGGGGTTGAGGAGGAAGCAAAGACGAGGCGGGGGAGGGGTTGAGCAGGAAGCAAAGACGAGGGGGAGGGGGTTGAGGAGGAAGCAAAGACGAGGGGGGGGGGGGGTTGAGGAGGAAGCAAAGACGTGGCGGGGGGAGGGGTTGAGCAGGAAGCAAAGACGAGGCGGGGGAGGGGGTTGAGCAGGAAGCAAAGACGAGGCGGGGGGAGGGCGTTGAGCAGGAAGCAAAGACGAGGGGGGAGGGGGTTGAGCAGGAAGCAAAGACGAGGCGGGGAGGGGGTTGAGCAGGAAGCAAAGACGAGGCGGGGGAGGGGGTTGAGCAGGAAGCAAAGACGAGGCGGGGAGGAGGTTGAGGAGGAAGCAAAGACGTTGTGGGGGGGGGGTAGAGGAGGAAGCAAAAGACGAGTGGGGAGGGGTAGAGGAGGAAGCAAAGACGAGGCGTGGGGAGGGGGGTAGAGGAGGAAGCAAAGACGAGGCATGGGGGGTAGAGGCGTTAGCAAAGACGAGACCCCCCGTGTAGAGGCGGGAGCAAAGAGAGCCCCCTTGGGGGGAGGGGGGAGGGGGTTAGAGGCTTAAGTAGAGTTTGGAGCAAAGACAAGCCAGAGTAACAGAAAAAGTGTTCAAAAGCCTACAGGTCAAAAAAACTTTGGTGATAAAAGCAAAGATGACAAAAAAAGGTCACCTTTAATATAGTGACATTTCAAGAGAGAAAACAGCTCAAGAGAAAAACAGGATTTGGAGTGTGTGAGTTGAAGGTTTTGAATGAATTTCAACAAAGACAAAATACTAAGAGAATTCTGAGTAGAAAAGTACATTTTAGTGAAGGGAATGACAATTTGGAGACATCATTTCAACAGAGGTCAAGCTTTTTTTGGCAGATGAAAGGATAACTGGGATAGGATTTTGGGAGAAGAGAGGTGAAAAATTTTCATAGAAAATACAAGGAAAGAAGAGAGAGTGGTTTTCAAGAGAATTTCATGAGAGAGAATAAAAAAATTGAAAGAGAAGTTCTAAGAAATCATAGAGAGGAAAAACAAAAATTCAATCAAAGTGAGAGAGAGAGAGATGAGCAAAGACAGAATTCTGAAAATTGAAAGACAAAGAAATCAATGACAAAAGAATGAAGACAGAAACAGATGACAAAAGAGAAGAGAGGAAAAAAGAAGGGTAGTAAGGACAGAGGATAAGAGAAAAAAAAGGTTGGGGAAAAAAGAAAAGACAGAGGGGTAAACTGAGTAAAAAAGGGGCAATGACCAGAGAAAAAGAGAGAGCCAGGACAAGAAAAAGAGGGAGGAATAAGATAGGACTTGGTGGTGGGGAGTGCAATCTGTCAAAAAAGAGAGAACATCAAATAAAGACAAAGGTGGAGAGATGAAGCAAAAGAAGAAATACTGCTGAGGCACTGTAAAAAGGATTTGGGGAAAAAGAATAATGGATGGATGGAGATATATATATATATATATATATATTATATGCGTGTGTGTGTGTGTATGAGAGAGAAACGGAGGATTATGCTGATGCTGAGGCAGCATGTAAGGAACTGCTGAGCTGGGTGAGGTTTTCACCCTCCATAAACATTTCTCTTGATTCACTTAGTTTTGACATTGATGTAGCACCTGACTGGCACTGGCCTGGTGAGGGCAGTGATTGAATTGAGTAGGTCAATACAGGATAGGTGGGACTTTCATAATTTGGGCCTGAAGAAAGCCAGGGCTTCACTACCCCTACCGATCAACTCTTACCCCAAGATACTGAAGCATCAAGGATACGAACTTGAAGTAACACTGGCTGTTGGATTTATTGAAGTCAAATAACGAAAGAGCTTATTTGTAGGCAGAGACAAACACGAATATGGCCAATTTTGAGTTGGCTTCCCAATGAAAAGAAGCATAAAGTTGTCTAAATGGTTAACAGCATCAAAAATGGAAGAAATAAACCAAGTTCAAGTCTTGATTATAGAATTAGGTTGAGTCATAAATAATTTCCGTTTTTGCATATCAAATTTACTCTGCAAAAAATAAGTTACAATTACATTTTATTCTATTATATATTCACTATTATTTGTAATGACTTGTTACTGCATACTAGGAAGGTCTTTAATACATTTTGAGTGAAATTCTGCAGGATTTGAGGGGAAAGTTTTCCCCAAACTCTTACAGCCTGTTTTTCATTACAAAAAGCTTTAAGCTTTGCAATAATTGGGTGATGGCCTCATTGTATATTTACAAGACATTTGTCTTTGATGATTGTCATACTTCTAGACTGTATTCTGCACATGTGTATGGATATACATTGCATGCAGATAATACTTAACTTTTTCAGAGTTTTTTTTTTTTACCTCATTTTTGTGACTAATACAAAATATGAATCCTGAGTAAAAATGAAACCTTGGCCAAGACTCAAAATTAAATCTGATATTTCAGTAACTTATCTTACATGGCTGATGCTTTAGCCAGTTAGGTTGCCTAAACTGTTGGCATGGCTTATGGCCATATGTTGAAACACCAGTTCTCATTAGATTGCCAAAGTAAGTAATGTTGAGCTTGGTCAGTATACAGACGGGTGACCGCTTGGAAATTAGTGCTGAAAGCTTGGATATATGAGTAGTGTAATAGATAATGGCTCAGAATTGGAAATACCCTTGTGAATGGTATGAATTTATATCTTTATCCACAAGCTTTTCTTTGGTAGTTCCAAATCTGTGCAAGGTTGACTTGAGTTTGACCAATGCAACAATGATTATATTTCAACTAACTTATAGGCCAAGAAAAGTAAAGATATAACATAACCATGTTTAAATCTTCCAATGAAGTGCAAACTTTTCTTTCGTCGTTCCAACTTTGCATAAATCTGACTTGTCCTCGACCATCAATATGATGTTTATTCTTTCTTACCCTAACTTCTGGACCAAAATGAAAACGGATATGTTCAAGAGACATTGGTAACTTTGTTTTACTACAGTTTATATGGAAAAAAATGAATAAAAGGTCCTTGGTAGAAAACCAAGTTTTTGAATGCTGTTGCTTTGTTTGTAGGTGAACACTCACTCCACCTACAACCTTTTAAAATACATAGTAACAGGACAGACTTAATTAGAATTGCTTTTGAGATTTGACAATTGACTGTGTTGGGAAAGCATTTGATCTGCAACCAACAATATCCAGTCATGCTGAAAAGAGAAAAGAAGAGAGAAGAGAAAAGAAAAAAAAAACAGAGAAAAAGAGGAAAAAAAAGAAAAAGAGGAAAAAAAAGAAAAAGAGGAAAAAAAAGAAGAGGAGAAAAAAGAAGAGGAGAAAAAAGAAGAGAAAAAAAAGAAGAGGAGAAAAAAGAAGAGAAAAAAAAGAAGAAAAAAAAAAGAAGAAAAAAGAAGAGAAAAAAAAGAAGAAAAAAAAAAGAAGAAAAAAAAAGAAGAGAAAAAAAAGAAGAGAAAAAAAAAGAAGAGAAAAAAAAGAAGAGAAAAAAAAAGAAGAGAAAAAAAAGAAGAGAAAAAAAAAGAAGAGAAAAAAAAAGAAGAGAAAAAAAAGAAGAAAAAAAGAAAAAAAGAAAAAGAAAAGAAGAAAAAAGAAAAGACAACATCAACTTGACCAAAATTAACAAGTAATTAAAGCAACAGAATGAATAAAAGTGACCATTAAAGGTTTGATGTTTCATGACCAAGGGTATCAAAGAACAACATGTTTTAGACAAGCTTTCAAAGCATGTATTATTATTATTATTATTATTGATTAAAAAAAAAAAAACTTGTTCAAACTTGAAGAAATAATAAATTAGTTACAGTCATAAATAATTCCATTTAGCAAATTTATTCTGCAAAAAATAAAGTTCAGTTAAATCTTATTTGTTAACTGTAATCATTTGTTACCACTTATCAGGCAACTCTTCAAAAACTTGAGTAAAATTTGTAAGTCTTCATGCAAAAAAAAAATGCCTATAGTGAATAACAAATTGGTTTTGCTTTACATCAATTCAAGTCAGAACTTTCCAAGAACCTACTTATAGATAAAGTCATAAGTGAGACCACACAAAGTAGGAATGAAACTTTGTCTGTTCTACCTGGGCAGTTATAGACACCTGAATTACTGCAAAATGCTTTGATGGAGAGAATTTTCTCTAATGAAAACCAGATTCAAAAGATTGGTGAAAACATTTTCAGGTCAAAACCACCAGAAATTCACTGAAAAGATATCGAAGAGCTATCTGATAAGTGGCAACGAGACAATGCAAATGATAGGGACTGTATAACTGAATAAAATATCATTGAACATTATTTTTTTTTCAAGAATCAAGTTTAAAAAAAAAAAAAATTTGAGTCAACCAAATAAAAACATGGAAGATTTGCTGTATTTCAAAATCTACAAATCAGTTTCTGATTGGAGTATAATTACTGGTCAGAGTTCAATTAATTTTTCTTTTCTGTGATTCAAATAATGATAGAATTAATCAAAACTCAACTTAAAGGAAAGTATTTTTGAAGAAGACAAAAAAAATTAAAAAAAAAACAAAAAAAACACCTTTGCATTGATAGCTAGAACCAAACGTGGTATGTTTTGTCTGCAAAATCTCGATATTCTGTTTCACACTAAAATGGAGGGGTACGTAAATAGAAACATTATAAATATCAGGGTAATCTATCACTATTTTTTTTTTTTTTTAATTTCTTCTGAAAGAATCAATCCATTATGCGATTTTGCAAAATACAACTGATATTTTGCTGGGCTTATTTCATGTTCCCTTCCCAGCTCCACAAGGAAAATGGCGTACAACAAGAAATATAACGTTTTCAAGTGTAACTGATATTGACAATTGGAAACAGGATGTGGCCAAAATAGATGTGAAGAAAAGAAAATAGGTATAGCAAAAACAATATGAGAGAGAGAGAGTAAACAGGAAGAGAAAGCATGGAAATCATGAAAGAGAGAGGTCAAAATAAAGAGTAGAAGAAAGAGAGACAACGACAGAGAGGGAGAGCAAAACAATGCCAGAGACAGAGAGAGCAAAACAATGCCAGAGACAGAGAGAGCAAAACAATGCCAGAGACAGAGAGAGCAAAACAATGCCAGAGACAGAGAGAGCAAAACAATGCCAGAGACAGAGAGAGAATGCTGGAGAAGGAAGGATGGATAGAGAGAAGGGATTGTGAAGAGAGGGAACAGATGTGAAGCAATGAAAGAGCGCAAATGACAAATACTAATGTTAAAAACAAAAAAGAAAAGAAAAATGTCAAACTCAGAAAAACAATGAAGGCATTTATGGCCGACAATGCAATGAACATTCAGAAAATGTGAAGAAAAAATGTCGGAATAAAATATAAAAGTAACTAAAAAAAAAAAAAAAAAAAAAAATGAAAACTATGGCCAAGGCTAAAATTATAACATGATATCATAGTGGAACATTACTTTCTTTGAAATATTTGTTTTCTCTTTTCTAAATAATAAACAACTTAAGCAAATAGACACATGCACATACATAGACACAAAACAAACAACATGGCCACTGTGGTAAACTTGATTTTGCAAAGCAATTATTTATGAAGTACATAACCTTGTCTATTGGGTCTTAACAATTTGAAGAAAAAAAAAATATTCAAATATACATAATGTGTCAAACCTGTAATATTGAAAAAGTTGAAAAAGAGAAGTCTCTAAAAGTTGCTAAGTGAATGGATTGCTGTGGAAACTAATATATTTCATTGCTCTGCAAATGGTAAAAACATTGCAGAGTGAGGGCGATTGATTGCTTTAAGAGAATGCAGAAACTTCCACAACAAGTTACTGGCAAACTGACCCAACCTGAGGTGGCTGTGAGGGAGTAACTATTTTGAGAAATTCATTTTGTTCTTTTACAACATTTTAATACAGACAAAACATTTACCTTCCGGCTATGATCAAGTGAATATCAGATATCTGTCATGTGTTGCCTTTTCTTTTTTACTCTTGTTGAAACAGTGTATATTGTTTCACTAACTGATCCTGGGATTGAACTCATGACCAATAGATGAGAGTAACACATGCTTTAGCCCACCCCTACATTCAGGGCCAGTGCAAGTGTCTCATACCCTCCCTCAAATCTATGAAACACCCCACTCAACTACATCACATTAAAAATGTATTCATATAAAATGCAAATTTTATTTTAATGATAATAAATCATATACAGTAAAGCTGAACAATTCAACTAGAAAAATTGAAAATAAATACAATGTATCTAAATACAAATTATAAACATGTCATAATAGATCATTCCAACAATGTTTTTGCAGCAAATTGCTAAAAGGAACCCAATTCTGCTTGTCAAGCTCACCCATCCCAGTTAGGGTGTTCAGGGTTAGTATGCACCGGCCCTGTCTACATTAACTATGCTACTCTCCTTAAGGACTTCCATTTTGTAGTTCATGTTCGAGATGAAAAATTGTTACTTTTTACATTATTGGGACGGATATCCTCATTTTTATTGCCATTTTCACGTTTTGGTTGTTGTACATTTTGACCTTCTTCAGGTGATATACATTGGAATTTCAAACCTAAACCCTTTCAGTCCGTGGGGGTAGATTGTCCTAATTCCATGGGCCAGGCATTTTTTTTTTTTATCAATATCTCAGCTTCAGTAAGTTTTTGTTCCCTCTACTGTGGCCAGGTATTGAGCTCACAACTCTTTGGTTTGGTTTTTGTTTTATGGCATATCAACACCTCAATGGGTTATTTAATACTGACAAGATTTTTATTGCTAGTAATATTTCTTTTTTCAAACATATTGCTAGCAATACTATTTCCTTCAAAAATTAATTGCTGGTATTTTTACAAAAATGTTTTGCTGGTATTAAAACCTATTTTTATGCTTTCATAGTGTTTTGTCCCCAGTTTGGGGGTTAACTATTTGCCCATAGCTGGGACCCTAACAGGTGCTACCACCCTGAGTTAGGATGGACCTGGGTGGTTCCATGTCTCTCAAAACCTCCTAATCAGACACTTTCCTGCTGGATGTAGTTTATCGTCATACCCAGAACAGAATACTTTTTGGTTCAAGTCACTTTTTGGATTACTTAACCAACGCTTTTATCCATGAGATAAAAGTGCTGGTTGAATTTTTGTGAAAATTTTAACATTCTGTGTCTAAAAGAGCAGAACTGCTACTTCTATGACAACATGTATTCATGTAGGAACCAATAATTGGTTGCCAACAAAGGATAAAAGCTGCTTTTTGAAATAATCAAACCTTCATTGATCAGTTTGGAGGAGAGCTTTTGAATGGCAGATATGGTTGGAAAGAAGTGACACTATTTGCTTATTTATTTTTAATGCAATGTTAATAGTTTACCAAAAATATACATACAAAAATATTTCTTGTCTGTCTATATAATAAATGTGACTATCAGTGTGTCATACTTTTTCAACTTTACTCCTAGAATCTGTAGCCCAACATATACCATTTTGGAATCAGGCTGACAAATGCAGGTTAGTGAGGCTATTTAAACCATAGTTGGGGTGGGTTGCTTGGGCCTGAGGATTTTATCCTCTCTTTCACAGCTCGATTTTTTTTTTTGTGTTGCTCCTATTCCACTAACCCTCCTCACAAGAGCAGGCTCTGTGTAATGAGTTGGTTTAGTCACCAATCACTCAGGTTTTCAATTAGTCCTCCTACAGTGGTTGCCAGCAAAAACTATAGGACACAGCCTGTCCTGCTATTCAGCCCATATTGGGGTTGAGAGAAGAGATAGAATAATATCTTTCTCAAAGGTATTTGGATGTAAGTGAATTTATTGAACTAGACTAGAATTTGAACTCAGCTCTTTGATTCCTAAATCAGAGCTGATATCCATTACATCCTTAATAAGAGAGTTTTTACCTTCAACTGGCATAATAATTACACCATAGACCTTATGGCTATCAATCTGATAGTATAAGCCTGGTGCTATACTTGGAACAATGGAAAATCATTGTTCCTTTTATATAAACAAAACTGAAAGGTCAGCCATCTTTAATGAATTCATGTCCCATATAAAAGTAGCAAAAATCAGATAAATTACAATGTGACATGATTTTCTAATGAATAAAATAGTTTGTGTAAACAATTACACTAATTAAAAGAATTGCTGCCATTAATTGCACCTTCATTAAAAGCTTAAAAAAAAGAATTCAAAACATCCTCCAACTCAAAAATACTCCTTGTTTGAGTAATGAAACAAAAATGCATTTTAACTTGAGTGAGAATTCATAAAACTGAATAATCCTATAAATAAATGCATCGTTTCTATATGCTGTGTCCTGTCAGGATATGATCGATCATGTCTCTTCACTACTTCCCATTCTTTGTAACTTTTATCGACATTTATCTCCTATCTGTTGTAAAGGGTTATTGAATGAGGAATAACCAAAATGGAGGTTTGTTTGGTTTGTTGTGCTTTACAGCATATCAACCTCAATGGCTTATTTAATGCTGACAACCATTTTTTTTTTTTTTCCTGGTAATATTTTGTTTTGTCAAAAATCTATTGCCGGTAATAGTTATTTTACAAAATATTTCTGGTATTAAAACCCATTTTTTACACTTTTATAATGCTTTTTACCTCAGTTTCAGAGTTAACTATTTGCCCACAGCTGGGACCCCAGGTCAGGGTGGAACCTGGGAACACCAGCAATTAAGATGTGGTTCCACACTCCTCAAAACCTCCTGATCAGAGGCCTTGTTGTTGGATGTAGTTTATCGTCATACCCAGTAAAACGGAGGTTGGAAATGAAATGGTAATCTTTATAACATCAACAAAATACAATACTCACCAACGTCATGAAGTAGGTAAACCACTGCTAGTGGTGTACATAGGTACGGTACATAACACTATCCCTTTTATTTCCTATTTTGTGACTCATTTACGCAAGCTTCTTGGTTACTCATTGTTTCCCCTTTTACCCTCTTTTTTCTTCTTTTTAAATCATTTCACCTCAAGCAAGACAGTAATGACACTAAGATGCGGGGGACACGGGGGGGGAGGGGGCAAAGAAAATAGGAAGACTTTAGAAGGAACAGGAAACCCAATCCTAAACAGGAAACAAAGGATAAACCTTGATTCCTGTTCAAAAGACAGGAGAAGGAGTGGGAATGTACTATGTGTATCAAATTCTCCAACCCTTCCTTCCTCATCATGTGTCCCAGAAATTTCAGTTGTTTCTTTCTGACTTCATGCATAAATGTCCTGCTTGTTTCCATTTTTCTTAAAACTTTCTTGTTGCTCACTTACTCTACTCACGATATTATCAGCACCCTTCTGTAGAACAGAAATTTTTTTTTTTAAATCAGTATTACCCCATGCAAGGCAGTAAAGCCACTAAGACACAGGTAGTCACATTGTGTAAAAATTAGGAACAGAAACATTAATAAGAGGAAAGAGTGATCAGGAGGACAGTATATAGCGATTGACATTGCATTTAAATTTTTGCAGATTAAATTTGGCTGGAAAGCATAGTGCCAGAAGTGGGTTCCACAAGTAAGAAGTATGAGAAAAGAAACTGTTAGCATAGAACTTAAGGTTACATCTAGCAATTTCAACTGAGAAATGACCTACTTGCCAATCTTAATGCTTAAATTTGTAAAGTCTAGGTACCATATTGAAGAGCTCATCCAAATAATTACCATGAAAGTATTTATAGAAAAGGCACTGAGAAGCAACCTTACAGCAGTGGGAAAGTGACTGAAGCTGAGGTACCAGATCAGGACCAATAACATTGCTGATTCTTTGGATTTTATCAAGGAGCTCAAGGTAAGTAGCAGGGCACTGGACCATATGAGGCAGCAATATTTTAAGCATGTATTTATTACTGGGCACTACTTAAATCGACTCTTAGAAGCAGTGTCCTGTTTATAATATCGATAGTGTGTCATATTCAATTTCTGACTTTTACAGACTTATTGAACTTAGCTTGTGTGCAGATGAAAGACATTTGGCAAGGAAATTACAAAAAGATTTTTTAAATAAAGAACAAAATGCACATTGTAATTAACAAAAATTTACATAATTATCAATTTATTCTTCATTTGAGATAAATAATTATTAACCTCAAATGTTTTTCATCTGCTTCTAAAAAATCCCATATTTTTAAAAATAAATCTTTAAAATATTAAAAAAGTTTAAAGGTTAAAAAGTTTGAAAAAATTTAAAACATATGCAGATATCAATGATGTTAACAGTTTCAAAATTGAAATTAGTAAATAACAGCTTAGTCCAATAACTCTGTAAAAGTCAGAGATCAATTATACTAAAAAAAAAGTCTTATTTAATTCTGACAAGTGCCACAGCCTAAAGATGGTCTAAGGAATGTTAATCAGAAAAAAATATTTCCTTAAAAAGTTTTCCATATTTGTTTTATAGAGGGACCAGTCTATTTAATTAGTACCTATTATTGTGTCCTGGGTATGATGATAAACTTCATCTAGCAGCAAGGCTTCTGATGGGGAGTTTTTGAGGAATGTGGAACCACTTCTTAATTGCTGCTGTTCCAAGGTCCACTCTGACTCAAGGTGGTAGCACTTGTTAGGGCCCCAGCTCTGGGCAAATATTTATCCCCCCCCCAAATGGGGTCAAAACACTATGAAAGTATAAAAATACATTTTTATAATAAAAATACCAACAATATATTTTCATAGTAAAAAAACATTACCAGCAATACACTTTTGTAAAAGATAAAAAATGTTACCAGTAATATACATTTGAGAAAAAAGATATTAACAGCAATACATTTTTGTAAATAAAAGTACTAATCCTTCTAAGATAATTAAATTTTGGTATTAAATGACCCATAATGAATCGATATGCCACCAAACAAACCTATTATTGCTTTTAAGGAAGAGCTTTTATTCTTCAAAAGAATTCTCACTTAATTTGCAAATTATCCAGATGATAAATCTGGTGAATTTGTCAATATCCTTTTTGTTTTTAATGTGAAAAATGTACTAACTTATTTTTTTTTTTTTTAATCATTCATCCTTTCCAAGCAAGGCGATAAAGCCACAAAGATACAAGAAAGGCTGAAGGAAACTTTGAAAAGGTTGTTGAAAAGAAAGGACAATAAACAGAAAATGATTCAAGGAGACAAAAGATGATGATTGACATTGCATTTACTGGAAAGCAAGAAGCAGAGAAGAGAGCTCCACAGGTGAGAGAAGAGACCATTAAAATAGAACTTATGGCTACAATTAGCGCTTATGACGATATACTGTTGAAACAAGATTAAGTTAAGGAACAATGAGCTTGATCAGTAAACAGATGAGTAACCACTAAGGGAATACAACATACTGAAAGCTAAAGGCCTAAAA